GAGAGAGAGAGAGAGAGAGACACGGGCTAGTATAGCTTCTTGGAAATCTTGACCAACACCAGCCCCTTGGTCTCCATGCCCTTGGCGTTGAGCAGGCGCACGACGCGGTAGCCGACGCGGAGGCGGTCGAGGCGGACGCAGGCCCAGGCGGCGAGGGCGTCGCGGCCGAGCTCGTCGTCGCGGACCGTGACGCGCACGAAGGCGAGCTCCTCGACCACGCCTGGCACAGCCGCGAAGCAGAGCGGCTCGCCGGCAAAGTCCGGGTCCACGCCGCGCTGCGTCTTGGTCTTGAGCTTGTACTCGCCCTCCTTCTCCCTCGTCTCCACCGCCGGCCCAGCCGAGGGGTCGTCCCCGGGCCCGGCCCCGTGCCGCTCGCCCGGCTCCTCGACGTGCAGCTCCACCTTGACGTAGGGCCGGAACGACTTGGGGTTGTCGTCGCCCGGCGGCAGCGGCAGGTCCTGGGCCGCGAGGACCTCGACCGTCAGGTCCAGCGTGCGGTGGGCCACGGCCGTGGCTTGCGTCTCGCCCTTGGTCGCGTCGTCTGCGCCTGGCGTTTTGGCGCCCCTGTAGCCTGTCGTGGTGGCACCGTCAGCATGACCGCAAACCCGTGCTTTCTCTTCTGCGGCCCCTCCGCGCAAGAGTTCTGACACAAAGACTAGGCGCAAACCAACCTTCGGGCTTGAGCACATATCCCTTCGTGCCCGCAAACATGCCTTCGTTCAAATGAATCCCCTCATCCCAACTTTGCCAGTTGAGCGCGACGACTTGGATCCCTTTTCTCCAGAACACTACTGGGTCCAGGTTGGAGGACTTAATTCGCAAGCCCGAGGGGTAAGCCCTCATCAGGAAGTGCTTGTTGTGGTCAAACAGGGCCTTGGGCGACTTTTCGTGGACTTCTAGGACACTCTTTTCCGAAAGCGAAAATATGTGTGTCGGCATTGCTGCCTCGGGCTGCGTGAGGCTTTTGAAAGAAACACCGCGGGTAAAGACCCCAAGCTGGCTCAAGGCCTGGATGATCTTGGATTTCTTCTTCGGCTTCTGGTCTGATGCTGCCGTGGCAGGCGGCACGACTTCGTCTTTACCCACGGTCTCGTCCACGGGGGACACAGAGACTTTGGCTTCCAGGCCCGGAGGTGCGTATTTCACTTTGATCAGGATTTTATTCCGCAGGGCCTCGAGAGCAGGCAGGGCTGTGGCATCCTCCTCTGGCTGTGGTAGCAGATACTGCATGGTCTCACTTCAGCGGACGGTCCCCGAAGTATTAAAATCCGATAGAAGCCGTAGGGAGTCTTACGTACCCCTTTGAAGGCTTGCTGCATGATATCCACCATGCACTGCTGCTGCTGCGGTCTACAATGCACCTCGAGACTCACAATCAGGGGCAGGTCCGAGGCAGTGAAGGCGTTGTCCCTGACGGCGTAGCAAACATCGCGAAATGAGACATCGTTGGTTAGAGTATAGCCGTGGTACACTCTGGGTTCAGCAGCCCCGACCGGGGTCGGGCTCTTTTGCAGCACGGCTTTGGGTTCCTGGCCCGCCTCAGTGCCACCACCCCCTGAAGCGGAGTTCGAGTGGGTAGATGCTGGCGATAGTGAGGAGGATGGCTGTTGTTTGGGCTCGGTCTTGCTCTCGACGAAGTGACCGAGCCGCCTGCCCAGCGACGTATCCTTGAAGCGGGTAGTCAGGGTCCTGGGCAACTTCTCCTTGACCTTGTTAACTCGCTCCTTGCGTTTGGCATACTTATCCGAGTCGCTAGCGCTACTAATGCTCGAAGTGTCTGCATCGGACTCGTCGCCGTCCCAAACGTCAATCTCGATGCACCGGCAGCCGCGAAGGAGCACGTCCTTGTAAGCGTCAGTGCTGGACAGAGAATAAAGCTGGTTGCCGGTCAGGTAGGTGTTGTGGCTAGAACTGATAAAGTAGCTGGCGAGAGGCCAAGAAAGATCCTGGTCTTTGGCGCTGCCGATGAAGCTGGACGCCGGTGATGCTATGTATGCGAGGAAGCCACTGACGTCGAGGTCCTTGCGGCCGGCCAAGGGGCTGTCGGACTCGGCGTCGCCTTGGACATGGCGTAGGAAGGTTGCGACCTGCTCCTCAGACCAGGTCTGACTATCCTTGTGTTGGTGTGCCTTGTAGATCCTGGTCAGATGGGTGACGAGGGCGGCATTGAGGGCCGGAACGGAGTGAGCCTCGCCGCTGACACCGCCTCCAGCCCGGTGGGTGACCTGGTGAGCGGCCTGCTGGGTTTCGGGAGCCTGAGCCATGTGGGCAGGCAGGCGAGGCTTGGTGCGACGCTACACACAGCGCATGCGAGCTGCCTAGGGCGTAGGGTGTGTCGATGTCGTGTATCGAGGCAGATGCGCAGGGGATGCCAGTTGGTGGTGGCGGCCGTCTCGGGCAGGGGGGGTGATGGGGTCGGCCTCCTCTCGGTGCTGTACGAAACGGCCGGGTCTTGGGGGTGGGGTGGTGGTGTTGGTGTGGTGCTGGCTACGGCAGGCTTCATTCACGGTGGCGCACCGGTCAGAGGAAAGGGTGACGGGGCGGGCGGGCTCTAGGTGGCTACGGCTGATGGACGGACTAGGTGTCGCTGCTGGGTGATGTGGACATGAAGCTATCTTGAATGGGGTTGACGTCGGGCGAGTATCAGATTGATAGCCCACGCCATGGGCTGGATCCATAGATTGGAGCGTCACCCCGCCCCCGCCTGATAGGCTCTGGTTGGGCCGCTGTGGTGGAACCGGAGGGGCATCCGAGCTTGCGAGCACGGGAAGGAACTTGCTGTTGGGACGGGCCTGCCCAGAGCCTGCCCAGACCAGGAAGAAGCAAAAACCTGGGCCGACAGCTCCAAGCTCCAGCTGATTGCTGAGGAAATCAACTTGGCGATGGATGGGATGGGATTCCGCTGGCGACGTCCGTCAAGCACACGCTAGGTCATGCTGATTCGGCTAGCCCGTTGATCATCCCTATCTTTTTCTTGGTTTGCTTTTTCCTTCTCGCTTCCCGGATCGGTGCTGTAAGCTGTTGCCCTCCTGCCATCCTCTCCGTCATCCAAAGCCGGCATCGCTTTTGGGCCAACGGCCTATCAAGACAGGGCGGACCTCCCTTTGGAGCAGATGCAGTAGCGTCGCCCGCCCGCAGCTGCCTGAGCCAGATTGGCCCGAGACTTGGCCGACCCCCTGTGGGGCTGCTCAGGCGTGTTGCGTGCCCAGCGCCATACCTGAACAAGCTCTAGTTCTCTCGCTATCTCGCCCGCAACGAGCTGTTGTTCTTCGCTTTCTTTACTTTTTTATCGCTTCTTTCGGACGAGTCCGCCCGAGTGGCGGGCCCTTGCGAGTGTGTGATACCGGGGTCCCGATGGCCAGCTGAGAATGCTACCTTGGGGAGATGTCGTGGCCGGCCAGGAGAGGCTCGTCTCCCGCGCTGCTTTCCGAGCGAGAAGACGTGAGCTTGACCGCCGCGGGTGCCAGAGACTGGAAAGCGAAGAATCCGTTGGAGATCTCGATCGACGAGGAGGCCCTGGCCAGCCTTCTTTTTTCGCTCTCGTCTTTTTTGGACCACCACCGTCATCGGGACCCGCCGTTCCCCACGCGATGTTACCTTGAGAGCGCTGAGGTCGCTGCCGATGGTCCGGCCTGGCGGTTTTGGCTGCCAGGGGGGCAACAATTGCCGCGCCCAACCCCTACACTTGGCCAGCAAGGCGATCACTCCTCCTAGCGTCGTCTTAGCCCGTAACCCCCCTCCTTTCCTCCTCGCCCGTTCTCGCCTCACTCGCTGTAGCGCCTCTCTGATATGGCCTCCTCGGGTTGTGCAACCAGGCAGACGCCCCGATCGGCCGATTGAGGCTTTTTGTTTGTTCTCTCTCTGCAGTCTTCCCTCGTCCGTCTCAGCCAACGTGGCGTGGCTGTGTGGGGCGCGCCATGCAAAATACAGAAGGCGGGAGCAGAAAAGTCTGTCTGCACGCTCGCCAAAGCAGGTTTCTTGTCTTTCCCCAAGATCCTGTTGGCCCGGCAAGGCAGCCACGGCAGCCACAGCAGCCAGGCCCTTCAGGCGGCCAGCATGGCGAGCTCCAACCCCATATCCAGATTCGGTCATGTTATTGGCCAGCTAGACGCACAGGGCAAGGAACTGGGATATCCCAAGCAAGGAGCTAAGTAAACAGCTCGCGTCAGTTGTAAATCTCCATCCTATCACACACCCCGCCCAACACGAGCCCACACCAGCGCCTAGCCGTCCGGCACTGCTTGGCTTTGGATCCCGTCATTTCGTCATTTTTCTATCTCTTCCTGTAAGTACCGCATCCCTCGTGCCTTCACACCACTCGCCTCCCCATTTTTCTACGTTTGAGAGAGGGAGGGCAGAACCAGAGGGGCGCACTAGACCAGCCCCATTGTATAGGTCCCAGGGATCACAAACCTTAGTGCGGTGGATGCAAGATACATTTTCTTCCTTAGAAAACCAAGCCAAACTGATGTACCACCAGGATCCACTGCACCAAGGTTTGTGATACCTGGGACCTGTACATGCTAGTAGAACGACGCTACGGGAAACAGAATGCGGAGCGGGCTTCTTTTGCATGTTGCATGTTGCTCAACCGAGCCCGTCACCCCTCCTGCTCTTGTCCGTCCCTAGCCCGGATACAAACTCAGCTACACTCATGCTTCTGTCCGCCGTGTTCCTGGAAATGAACAACTGCGCTGCTTGTGCGAGCGTTACCACTTGTCTTCCTTTTTCCTTTTCCCCCGACAGCCCAAGTCCAGGCCGTGGTCTGTGGTGACGCAGGTTGGAAGGCCATGGAATCATCCCGTGTTGCCGGTTTTCCCGGACAACGCGGTTCGGTAGACGGCCCATAAATATAGATTGATATTACTCTTTCGAATGTCACCAGGCCCGTGCCCAAAGTTTTCTGGTTTCCCACCTCATCGACGACATCATCGCCATGGGTCCAGCTCCTGCGGCTGCTGCATGGAGCCTAGCGATCCAGGGCAAGCCCCTGGCTTCCGGCACAACGACTGGTCGGCTGCCCGTCTGCATGCCGTGGCTGGGCCCAGTCTGGGGGACAGGGGGGACCGTTGAAAGAGGGGACCGGCCTGCTTTGCTCCCCGCCAATCACGACATGGTGGTGCCCCTGGGCTGGGCGAGCACGGCTGGCAGCGACCTTTACTCACGCCTTTTCGGGCTCGAGTGTAAGTGGTCGCCCAGCACACATGCCACTCCTCCGGTGTTACCTCTCTCGCCTTCTTTTCATTTTTTCTTCTTCTGTCGATGCTCGTACCGACAAGCTTGCGTTTGGGCAACTTGCTGGGCTCCACCGCCTCTCTCGCCGTAAATTGAAGCCAGCATGCATCCGTCGTCGTGGTCGCCCCGAAGCCCTCGGGGCTTGCTTGCTACGTATGCCGACCTCCTCGTATTCGACTGCATGGTGAGGTGCCTAGATGCTCGGTGCTGCAAGGATAGGGGAAGTGCGTGAAGCTGCAGAAGCTTGCAGCAGCAAGCTGCCAACCTCCAGCCACACCGCGCTCTTCTCCACGCCCCGTCCTGGTACATCAGCCAGTGAGACTGGGCGATCCGTCGATGGCCTGACTTTCCGCTCCTCGCTCGCGCTGCCTGCCGGGTCCCGAGTGGTGGCTTGAAGGCCGTGACTGCAGGGCGGGCCTTTGAGCTGCATCCCCCATCACCACCACCCCCTCGGCAGCACTAGTGTGTGTGTGTGCCACCCTTGCCCAACCTCCCCCCTCCAAGCCTGCTTTTTTTTGCTGCCAAGCCGATCAGCGCCAACCCGGCCGAGGGAGGGCAGGCCAGAGCTTGTTGGTCTCGGCTGTGCGTCTCGTGCGATGTGACCGGAGTAGGGCATGGGATGGGACAGCATGAGATGGGTTCTACGAGGGGAGGAGAGCAACGCTAGCTGGCCTCGGTGCTACGCTGCCGGCAGCGTGGAAGATGTCATCGAAACCACCCCGCCCCGTTGTTTTCTCTATGCCTAGGACGTCCGAGTGGGCTGCCCATATCGGCGAGCCGGGAGGACGGACGAGCTGGTCGATATAAACCGGCCCCGTCGCCCTTCCTCTCGTGCTCGATTCCCTGGTTCTCTCCATCCCACCGCGGCCTCCTCACTTGTCCATCAGCCTCCACCCTCCCCGGCTCGACCCAAGTAGCTCGTTCGCTAAGGTTACTTGACCCTTCGTTTTAGAGGTCATCCCACTTTCGCTCTACACACCCTCGCTGTTGTCACGATGAAGGCCGCGTTCGCTTTCCTGGGTCTGGCAGCTTCGGTCCTCGCGACCGGCGGTCAAGACTGGGACAAGGGCAAGACAGTTACGAAAACGACTGTGATAGATGTCGTCTACACAACGACGTGCCCTGTCACCGAGACTATTCACAAGCCGGGTAAAGTTGAGACGACGACATTCACAACCACGTCCGTGGTGTGGACCAAGGTGCCGACGGTCATCTACACAACTTTGTACGGCGCGGACAAGACGGAGACGGCCAAGGAAGTCGTCCACGTTACCCACACCAAATTTTTGCCCACTACGGAGACCAAGGTTCTGGATGGACAGACGAGAACCATTACCTATACCAAGACGCAACTTGTCGAAGAGGTTGTCCCCACGACGATCAAAGTTTGTAAGTACCAGAACTGTTGTCCAGCGAACAAGATGGACCGAGACTGAATATATGTTGGGATATAGACACCACCCAAGAAACTACGAAGTATGTGAAGACAGAAGTCCATGAAACCGTGACCTGCCCTGTCACAACGTACACGACAGTTATCGAAGGGGAAACCAAGACGGTGGTCAAGACGAACACTATCACGGTCAAAGTAACCGATGCGATCACGGTGACTGAGCTGCGTCCTGTCACGCGGACTGCGAATGTCGACCAGACCGTGAAAGTGACGGTACCCGGAGGGGTCACAACCATAAATTCGCCCACCGTCGTCGTCACGATGAGTGGAACACAGACTCAGACGATCCCGGGCCCCCCGGGCACAGTCGTAACCCCGACCACTCTCACCACGTCGAGGCCCGCCGCGCCCCCGGCCACCAGCGCGCCGGCCACCACCTCCCCGGTCCCGGCCGCCGGCGCCCGCATCGACAATGCGCCCGCCCTCGCCCTCCTGGCCGGGCTCCTTGGCGCTGTTGCCCTCCTCTGAGTACGCCCTCGAGAAGACATTTTACCACTCACTTTGCTCTCTTTTTTCCCCCTACACTCGAACGACTTCCACGAAACAAGGACATGTAATGTTAATTAAGCGGCTATCTTTTCTGTTTTTTGAGCATTAATTTAAAAAAAGACAAATAATGAAGTGATATCACATCGTTCGTATCTGTGGGAATGTTTGTCTATGCCGTAGATAGGTCTCCGGCACAACGCGCGACATATAATATCCAGTCTGATATCTACGTTCGTGCGGGCTGTGGTCATGTAGCTATGGTCACTTTACTTTCGGCGTGACCTCCTTAGGTCTCCCTCGGCCAGTACCCATATACCCTGCCTGCGCGTTGCAGTCTGCTATGTGGCACGCCACTGCATGCAACAAGACCCAACAACTTCGTATTTGTTTTTTCGGCGCCTTGTCGCCTGGGTGTGGCAAATGCTAGTGGGCAAATAAAGTGCATTTACCCAGACTTTGCTTTGGCTTACCGGGCATGGACGGAGCTCCCCTCGCCGTCGAGACCCACGCCTCCGCAGGTCAAAGCGGCGAGCCGGCATGGGGCCCCCCATCGGACCCGGACCAGCCTAGTCCTATCGGCTGACAACTCTTCAGTAGCGGCACTTTCCGGCCTTAAGATAAGGATCCCCAAACACCATACCCACCCTGTCTTAGGACCACCGAGGAGCGCGCGCCCCATACATGCATCTCTCCAATTTCGCGGTCGACATCCGTCGGGATGGATGCAAGGATCAAGGACCAGGACAAGGGGGCCTCACAAAAAAGCCAGTCGACGGCAATCTAAAGATGGTGCGCTTGATCCCTGTGTGGCCCGTCGCCCTAGCCCAGTTCTCTGTGACGGGCGCTAGGAACCGCTTGCAAGAACTACTGTGTCGGTTGGTCTGTAGGGGCATGGGAGGGAGCAGTCTGGGCGGACATTGCGACATCATTGACACGGCCCTGGTGCCGGCAGCCGAGAGATCACTGCCGCTTGTGGTGTGCTGAAACCCACCTTTTCGGCAGTTATATGTGGCCATTGTTCCAGGGGAGAGGGAAATACCTACCTTAGTGCAGTAAACATGGAATACCTAGCCGCATGCGTCGCGTGTATATATGTCACGAAGGAGGTAACAGTCCGCACTCATGGACCCATCTCGCCGACATGATAGAAATGAACCTCTCTGCGGGACCACGCAGGCACGTGAGGCCATGTGTTCGTACCTACCGGCCTGCATGCCAGGCGAGATACTGTGCCTACCTGCCCAATCTTGCATCCCCAGAGCCAGTTCCCATGCAACCTCAAAGCAGCGCCGTCCCTAGGGATGTTCCCTATGCTCGGTGCCGATCTGGCGCGTTGCCCGAGCCATGTTCCTGCATGGGTGGGTAGTATTTACCACCACCACCCTCCACCTTGCTTTGCTTTTTTTGTGTCTCCTTATTAGATACAAAGGCACGACACGTCCGACGTCGGCTTCCCGTTCCCCCCTCCTTTGCTCGAGATGGCGTCCCACCCGGGAATGGCGACCTACGCCTTCAACGACACGAGCCTGTCCCAGCCGGAAAGGGACTATCTCAGGAGCCTCCACGACTTCGCCCTGACCCAGAACCTCGCCGAGGACAAGCAGAACTATGTCCGCGCCGTTAGCATCGCCTTCACCGTCTTCGCCGCCGCCGTGGTCGGCCTGCGGTTCTGGGCCCGCCACCTCCAGGCCGCCAAGCTGCTCATCGACGACTTCATGATGCTCGCCGCCCTGGTCATGTTGTTTGGGAACATGACAATAAACCTGGTGGTAAAGTAAAAGTCCGAATCGTACGGGGGGACACGATGTATGGACTATTTGCCTTCTAACGCTCTTGGCCGTATGCTAGCTGGTTGATCACGGCATTGGTCTTCACTCGGGTCGTCTGCCCTACGAGGAGATCGAGTTCTTGAACAGGGTATGCGGCGTTCTGCCTCATTGCACTACACAAACAGACCCCCATACTAACAGAGGCGACGCGCGCAGACCATGATAGGAGCTGAGATCCTCTACGTGACGACGGTGAACCAGTACAAGATCGCCCTCCTCTTCCTCTACCTCCGAATATTCCCCATGGCGTCGGTCAGGAAGGGGGCCCTCTGGTGCGGCGGGTTGACGTGCGGCTGGACCTTTGCCTGCATCATCGCGGCGTGCCTCCAGTGCGTGCCGCTCAGCCGCGTCTGGAACCCGTGGCACGAGGGGGTCTGCATCAACCTGTTCCTCACGCAGCTCGCCATCTCGATCCCCAGCATCCTGGTCGACATTGCCATCCTGTGCCTGCCCATCCCGCACGTGCTCAAGCTGCAGCTGGCGCCCTGGCAGCGCTTCCTGGTCATGTTCGTCTTCCTTCTCGGCAGCTACGTCGTCTTTTCCAGCTGCTACCGCTTCCGCGTGTTCTTGTCGTATTCGACAGACGACGTTCCTTGTGAGTTTTCGAGCTTTTGCTTCCCACTGGCCCGCGAGGGAGTTGATGCGAGCCGAGCTTGCTGCTGACCATGGGCTGCTCTTGGTCGTCGTAGGGACTATCGCCGATGGGCTGGCCTGGAACATTGTCGAGCTGAGCAGCGGAATAGTGTCTGCTTGCTTCCCAACTCTTGTAAGTCACCGGGTCTCCAAGACCGGAACAGCGTCACAAGGGCTAACACGCAATGCACGATAGGGACCAATAGTACGCTCTGCCATCAGGGCCGTCAGCAGCGTAGCCTCGGTCTCGGGGCTGTACGCCAAGTCCAAGGGGACGTACTCGGGCGGGCCGGTTACCAACGAGACCCCGAACCATCCCGGCGGGCCCAAGAGCTGGGCCAAGCTGGAGGAGGAACACGCGAGAGGGGAGAACAATCACCCCGCGCGGGGCGGCAGGGTAGGGCTGGTTACAATAGGGTCCAAGCCCGTCGCCAGAGGCCGCCCTAGCTGCGATAGTGACTCGGACGACATTGAGCTGGGAAGATACATGGGCTCGAGTCACAATGTGGCGGTCTCGAGGCCGCCGCCGGCCATGGATATCGAGCAGGGTCGCCGCGGGGCGGGAAGGGAAGGACACTGGTAGCCGATATTGTTGCTGGGCGTCGGCACCGGAAATCTGTATAAAGCAATATTTAGCAGCTAGTTTCAAGAGTTGGTGCTTTTAAATTAATCTTTTACCTTTTTTCCAATTTTACTCAATCTTTGGGACCTCCTGTAAGTAAGACTGCCGTCTTTTTTGTAGTGGGCGTAACTCGCCTGTATTAATTATCATTTCTATCACGGCTAGTGAAAGGGCCATTCCACTGCACCAACAATCCTATAGTGGGAATCTGCAACGCATGGAGAGAATAGCAATGAGTGAAGGATTTAGCCCAACCCGACGGCTTCGATCAGCTCACAGGAGGCAGCGCGCCCCACAAGCGAACGGCTACAAGGTGCCGCTCCAAACACCGTGCCACGCGAAGCTAATTTGAGCTTGCCCAGTGGGCTTGTCCCGGTCCAACCAACAGCGGCGGTACCTGCTTTACGTCTCCTGATGACGTCGTTGCCAAGATCAGCACCCCCAAGGAATCCAAACAGAGACAGGACGAACACGCAACAAGCCCCGAAGCCCATGACAAGCACGGCCAAGCTCAAGTCCCAGCCCTGAAATGAAGTCATCACGCCCGAATTGGTTTCAAACGGCAGGAAAACGGGCCCGGTAGCTCGGTCTGGCCCGCCTTGGTGTGGGTTCTTAACTCGTCCTCCTCGTCAACTCCAGCTCCTCCACACCAGTTCTAGCTTTCTCCACGCCCTTCTCCCCACGCGCGCCTGGAGCATCGCGCCCGAGAACGCCAGTCGGCATCGCAAAAGCACAGCACGGCACCTAGATAGCATCCTTAGCCATAAGCAAGGATGCCTCTCTCGCACTTGACCATCCTGGCCGCCCTGGCGTCCCTCGCCGCAGCCTCGCCCGCCCCGCTGCCCCGGGCAGAGGCCGCACCGCTCGTCACGCCCGCGCCGACGCTGGAAGGCCAGCCGACTCGCACGCTGGAGAGGCGGGTCGATGTCTGGGGCGCCTTCGCGTCCGGAGTCAACTCGGTCATGTCCGGGCTCGGGAGCTCGATCCCCTCCTACGTGGCCTCTGGCGTGCCCAACTTTTTCCAGGGTTAGCGATGCTGCTGTTTTGATTACGCAGCTTTACGAGACCAGACTAACGGTAGGCGTCGAATTTAGACTTCCCGACTGGCGACAAGGTGCAGAGCTCGCTAGGCATTGACGACGACCAGGTGAGTTGTTGCAGTCCTCGGCGTATTCCGACTTCCATGGCCACGACCTCCTGACAATATGTGCTAGGTGCGGGCCCTTCCGACGCAAGTTCTCAACATACCTCCTTACGCAAACTGGAGCAACAACGCCTGGAATATTCGCTTCCGTGGAAATGTGAGTTTGGAGTCTATTGCGTCCCCTCATGTCCTGGCTGTCGCATACTAACCCTTCCCCTGAAAGGTCTACAAACAACCAAATACAAGCGTCGAAAAGCTCAACAAGCTGGCAAACGTCTTTCTTATCGGCACAGACATCAAGGATCTCCCGCCTCAGGAACAGGACCAAGCCCGAAATATCACGGCGTCGATATTCATCCTCCAGCAGGGTGACCAGAACGTCACAATGATCATGAATGCTACCGGTGGTACGCAGAACATGAACCTTCCGACGCGTACCACGGCCCAGGGCGACTTCGATGAGTTTGTGCCGATGATCCAACTCAACGGCCTGCAACGAGGAGACATGGCCCAGAACAACGTCCAGAGGCTGAACGTCTATGCGAACGGCTCAACACTTGGCAACGCGACTGCCTACCTTGTACCGCCACGAGGATACTCGATAATCAGCGACATAGACGATATATTACGGGCGAGTAGAGCCCAAATCTCCTGTCGCGCGAAGACATGGTATGCCTTGATATATACAGAGAGACTAACAGATGAAAACGCGGTGCAGGTCACCAAAATCTATAAGCCCAAAGAGGGCCTTCTCAAGTCGGTGATGCGTACAAGTGGCGACGAGTAAAGAAAGAGAGGCATGGAAACTAACGCAATGATACAATATTTAGCTCGTTCGCTCGCGCATTCGTGCCTTGGCAAAACATGCCGGCCATATACGCCAACTGGGCCCAAAACATCCCCGGAGCTCACTTCCACTACCTCACGACGACGCCGGAACAGGCCACGCGCATCTACATGGACTACATCTACAAGACATACCCAGCGGGGAGCTTCGACACACGTCCTTTGAACTTCAGCGACGTTAGCGCGACGCTCTCGATCCGCAAGCACCTGCTCGACCGCATCTTCGAGACATTCCCGGAGCGCCGGTTCGTCCTCGTCGCCGACACGTCGAATTCGGATATTATGAAGGCCTACCCGCAGATGGTGAAGGACTTCCCCGGCCAGGTGGCCTGCATCCTCCTACGCAACACGAGCGCCACCGACCCGGACATGCTGTTCCCCTATAATACTGCGGGGTTCAAGGATGTAAATCAAAGCAACTACATGTTCTTCCGCACGACCGACGACCTGGTGGGGCTCGATCTTGGCCGCGGCGACTGCTACAACTCGTCTGTCCCCCGAAACCTCACGTTTGGCTACCAGGCCGAGCTCCTCAAGCGGGGAGCCGCGGGGCGCCTGGGGTTGCCTCGGGGGATGCCGGTGGTGATTGCGGCAATGGTGGTCATCTTCCTCCTTTTCTAGGTCATGATGATGAGAAGATGATTTTGCTTATGGCGATGTATTTTACGTGGGGGCTGGCTGGAGCGGTCGGTGCTACTGCCGTGCTTGCTGTCTCTATGCAAGGCGCATTCCTGGATTCACTCTGGCTGTCCCTTTGGGAGGGCGAAATATGACTTTTGAACATATGAAATACGAGAACATGTTTACTTTTGTATTTATTTACCGTATCAAGCCCGAGCCCGCGGTCTGAGCATGCGAAAGCAGTAGTAGGTCGAGGAAGTGGCTGTTTCGACACTGTCGATTTCAGACCCCGCCGTCCTATATACTCGCGCTCGGTTTATAAACATAGTGCCCTTTGACGATAGTCCATACTGTTAAAGATTCTCCGTTGGATGAAATCAAGTCCCTGGCTAACCCTGGAGAATGACAGCCAGTAGATGAAAATCAGGTCAGGTGCTCGTCCCAGCCAGGATGTCTTCAACCCTCTTCACCTTTTCTGAGGCAGTCTGTTGCTTATCGGTCCTACGTGGTGGCGTGTGTTAGTAAAAGAATAAGAAGGGGGAAGGAGAATACAAGAAGAATGAAAGGAATAGGAAGAAGAAAAAAAAAAGGAAAAGGAGAAGAAGGCGGCGAGGTCACGCCAACTAGCCAACCAACCTTGTTCCGACGCGGAGCGAGCTTTGCACGCGCTGGCAACCTCCCCGGTGCACAACGGCGTGGGCCTGGCCGATGACCTTCATGACCTCGTCCCAGCTCCCTTCTGCAGACGCGGAAAACGGACGAGGGTTCGGGCTACAGTCAGCAGGTGGTTTGCGATGCAGAGCAGAGGCTAGGTGGGGGGTGGAGGGACATGGGGTATAGGGAGGCAGGTAAGGTGTAGTAGGCAAGTAGGTTACGGACCGACGGTAGTTCCCGCAGAGTGCATCGTGTACTTGATGCCCGAGGCCTTGAGGAGCCTCTGCACCTCTGCCACCTCGTTCGCGACGCTTACGCCGACTCCCACAGGGATCAAGCAAAAGTCGGCGTAGCACGCGGCGGGGGTCTCGATGGAGCTCGTGTCCATGCTGGGCTGCTTCTTCTTCCTGGTTGCGAATGCGCGGTGCGGCGCAGGGCCGGCCAGGGGCGGGAATAGGAGCCTGGTGACAGTCGCGCGTGGTCTCGCCGGTGAAGAGAAGAGTCGGTAGGTAAGGGATGACATTTGATGTCTAGTCGGGGGAGCGCGGGAGATTCCGTGTGAGATGTTTAAAGGTTGGTGTTGAAGGCTGTAACTGCCTTCCAATTGCCAAAGAGGGGTGCTAAACGTGGGGCACGCGGGTCTCTCCTCTCAGCATGTTTGTTCCTTGGGTGGATTTCGTCGTCATTAATCTGCGATTCTTGCAACTTTGTACCTCTTTTTTGACCAACTATATTCATCCTCGCTGCATTCTGGATAACAGCAGTATTAGACGGCCAACGAGTAATCAATTGCTCGTGGTCCGGTTTGAGTCCTTCAAGTTTTCTCTATCCCATAAACCATAAAAGAACTTCCCAAGAAGGCAACCAACTCCATTTTTATAATCCCAAAACATCAATATCCAGACACGCTCATTTGTCTCGACATGAGATAAAAAGAAATAACAACAGCTCCCACAGCCCCCCTTTTGCTTGCCTTGCCCGCAATTCACACAGGAGGCATGTCGAGGCTCCCCCGCCTCGAGCTGCAGGGGCTGACGTCGCCGTCGAGCGAGCAGCGGCTGCTGCCAAACGTGAGGGTGTAGTTGGCAAACACCTGCTGGTAGGCCAGGTTCTCCTCCGTCAGCGGCCGCTCCGACGGGTGCGGCCTGAACCGCCTGCTGCTGCTGCTGCTGCTGCTCTTTGGCGCCTTTGGCCTGGCGGGGAGAGTGAATGTGATTTTGGCCCGCGGCGATTGTTGCTGGTACTGTCGCTGTTGTTGCGACTGCTGCTGCTGCTGCTGCTGCTGCTGCTGCTGGTGGTGGTGTTCGTCGCTGCTAGTGCCGCCGGCCTCGGTGCTAGCGTTTGAGCTGCTACCCGTGGTGGTCCTCGACGGCGACCAGTTGAATCCCGTGATGGTGCCCCATACGCCCGGCGACGTCGGGGCGGACACGGGCGAGGACACGGGCGATGACGAGGGTGATGTGTATGTGGTGGACGTGGCTGCCGCCGAGCGCATGCGGTTCCAGCGGTCCCGGATGGCCATTATGAAGGTGGAAGTTGGGAATATCTGGTAGGTGACAGTTTGTATGGTAGGGACCTCAAAAGTGTCTCGTATTTGTATATATAGTGGTATGTATATGCGGATCGAGTTGGTGAGACTGGTTGGAGTCCTGGGCAAAACGTTATCACCGGATAGGGGTCGTTGCTGCCGTTTAGTGTATTATACAAGATGCATCATACCGAACAAACAAATCCTTCGACTCCCCAGATCTTCTACTTTTCGGCCGACATCCATCTATACTAATACTAAAAACCCCAGAGGCTGATTTCACATCCGGGCAAACACGCCAGAGATCGGCGCTACTCCCCCTTTCCCCCCCTTCCCCACACCACCACCCCAAAATGGCAAGTTCTCGCCTCCCGCCTAGTTCTGGGCCTTGGGCTAAGCCCGAGCAGGTGGTGAGAGCGAGAAGCGCGTGTGGCCACCACACCACCACCACCACAACCCCGAGCTTTCCCGCTCAATTCCGGGCCCAGCTTCTCTCGGCAGGTGGGACGGGCTAGCGGGATAAAAGGGGGGGCGAAAAATAAAAAAGAAGGAAAGAAGGAATTACTGGGGCTTCGGTAGCAGCGGCGCCTCGCCATTGGTTGACTCTGGGGAAATAAGTAGGGTGGGAAAGAGTTCAGCCCTTGGGAGGAGCTTCCTCTGCCCCGGCGGCGCCGAGAGGGAAGTGGGAAAAAAACCACACCCCACCGCTGGCCGCCCGCCCCGCGCCCTCGCCTTTTCTTGGCTAGCTTGGATCGCCCGCTCTGGCCGGCTCTTTCGGCCGGTCTGCGCCTCCTTCACGTCGCAGCCAAAAGTCACCACACAGAGGACATGTTCGTTGATGCCATGTGGGGAGAGCTAGGAAGAAACCCTGACGCCTTTGGGCAAGATCCACGATGCTCTAGGGTGGTCGTTTACCAAGCCCCATAACTTGATGGATCACTGCCGACGGATCGGGGAGCTGCAGGCCTATACTAGCCCCGAGTCTATCAAGCGAGAGGGCTTGAAGTAAAATAGCCTAGGAGATTTTGGGAAACCCGATCTCTCTACGATATTGCTGCTAAACACACCAACGTCAAGCCCGCCCCTTCATCAACGCGAACGAACGAACCAAAACCAGAATCTAGGTCGACCCGAGGCACCACGTATACTCCTTCCAGCCTTCGGCCCGAGTTTAGGGCTTACGTGTGCTTTGTCGAATCAAATCGCAGAGAAACCACAGTCAGCTGCCAGCTTCATGGCCGAGGCATGCTAACCGGTCCGTCTTCACCGAGAGACGCACTCTCCGCCAAACACGCCCGCGCTGCCGCAGCCAAGGCCCCCAACGATGTTGATGACCCACGTCAGGGCCGCCGCCTCCCAGTCGACATCCTCCTCCGGGAGCAAATCGCCCTCCGCTGCGGTTGCAACCTCCTCGGCGCTCGGCTTGTAAGCAGAGTCGCCATTGGCCTCCTCCGGAGCCCGGTCCTCCTGCTTGATCTTGCGTGGCCGGCCGCGGCGACGGGGCGCAGGCGTCGGCGGCTCCTCGGCCTTGTCGTCGTCGTCGTCCGCGACCTTTGCAACGACGGAATGGGCAGTCTCGGCGACGTCGTCGGCCATGGACTTGGCGCCGAGGCCGGGAGCCGCGGCGAGGGGCCACGCCGCGCTGATGATCTGCCGCGAGTCCATGGCCCGCACCGCGGCCCAGAGGCCCAAGGCAAGCGCCGACAGGAGCACGTCGCGGCCGGCGGCGGCCACGACGGGGTGGTCGGCCGTCGAGCCGAGCACCTTGGCCACGGCCGTCGAGGCGCGTTCCCACTCGGAGCGCCTGGCCGTGTCGAGCGGCATCCTGATGCTGTGCCGGTGGTAGTGCGAGTCGGGCGCGTTGTACGCCAGGGCGTAGCCGGCGCCGAGGGCGTACATGACGAACGTGGCGAGCGAGAATGTCCGGAACGTCTTGGTGTGTGTGTCGTGCGCGCCGTGTGGGGGCGAGTACACGGCTCCCCATGACAGGGGCGCTACCGTCGGTATGGCGAGCAGCGCCAAGCTCGTGATGCGCAGGACAATGCTTCCCGAGGTCTCGGGCAGCAGCGCCATCACGGCGCATCCCAGGTATAGTACCGACGTGGAGGCAACCGGGCTGGGAAACCAGTTGCTGGGCTTTGATGGGAACACGCGGCCCAGCACCTGCGCCAGCCGGCCACGCCCCTCAGCGCCCGAACCTAGAGGGAGCGGCGTCGGCGTGAGTAGCAAGGCGACGTAGAACAGGTTCTGGGCGAAGGACAGGCTGGCCATCTGCGCCAGGCAGAAGTAAGCCCAGGTGTAAGGGATGCGGCGACGGCGGCCCTCGATAGAGAGCAAGAGGGTCCATGTCGTCATGCCGAGGTCAAGCTGCCGGCCCCAGAAGAGCCGGCGGGCCTTCTCGGACACGATCTCGCGGGCGTCGCGGTAAATCGGGGTGTCGCTGAGCCACCGAGTCACGTTTCCGCTCAGGTAAGGGAATCTAGGGGGTGTGTAAAAGGCAGGAAAACGCCGCCATGTTAGAGGTGACATGAAGATGAGAGGGATGGCCGGGAGGGGCACGCAGAAACACAGTAGACCTACCTGCCGTCCGACTCGAAACCGCGCTCGTCGGCCCAGACGCGATACGACAGCGCGGCATAGTCGGCAGCCGACTTGGTCGCCACGACCAGACTCAGGGCCGCCAGCGCGGCGAAGACGGGGACCAGCCGGGCGCGGCTGGCCTGGCGCGCGCGGGCGCCCTGCGACGGCGTCAGGTCCCAGTATGAGCAGTACAGGCCGCGACAGACGACCGCGGTCAACGCCATGACCGCAATGCCGTGGGTGGCTACGACCGCGACGGGGAGGTATCTGCGCAAATGGGGGGGTGTTCCATATTCTCGGTCAGCGCTCGTCGCGGGAATGACCTTCAGTGTTGATGCCTCCTGCGCCCACAACATGACGTAACGACTCGGAGTGAGGCTGGTGCAAGGGAGTTCTCACCTAGGCTCATGGTCGACGGCCACGGGCGCCATGTTGCAATATGTTCAGGATGCCGGCTCGCCGAATTGTCTTTTTGGTTGTCGAAATTCCATGTGGTGAAAGCTGCCCAATGGCTCACTGTTGATGGTGCGGGTCGGAAGTGGCAAGTTTAGCTAGAGGGGAGCTGGGATTGCTGATGTTGGCAGCTGGCAGCTGCTTGGAGCTCAAGCTGTTGTCTCAGATGAGCACCAGCTCGCCATTGGTGCATCAACCAGGTCCAAACGGACAAAGATTGAAGGGAAAAAGCAGAGGAAATGAAGAACAAAACCAATAGGAATGAATGAAAATGAAAAAGAGGAAAGAAAAAACGGCCTGGCGGACAAGGTAGCCTCAGGGCCACATCACCAGCGCCGAAGCAGCTTTCACAGATTCACATGTAAATACATGATTCGCTTTCATTTTTGCTAGCCTACTCGCCTTTATCCCTCCCCTCGAATCTGACAAGACCAACCAGCCCTTTCCCCTCCTTGGGCAAGAGCCAACCCATAGTGGCGGGATCCCATGGCCGGCATGCTACCTACACATATTAGACGACTCTTATTTATACAATCAAAACCGATGAAATCCAGCCCATAATTTCCATCTGGACGCTCATTGCTCCCAATGCCTTTGTGCCAGGGCCATATAAGCGAGATCCAGTTATTAACCCCCTCAGCAGACACGCAGCCCACAGACCTCGACGCACTTGGACTCGACCTTGGCCCGGCGCGAAAAGTATAGTGGCGTGAAGGCCCTGACGAAGGCCACGTCGCTGTTGCTCCAAACGTCCAGGCCCATCCGGGTGAGCGCGTCACTATCGATGCTCACAGACCCGTTAAGGCCATCGTCCCTGTCATCCATGTTGTTGTCAGTGCCCTCGCTGCGGCGCAGGAGCCCTGTGTCCTCCGTCTCCGAGTCGCCCGCCGAGGCCATGGTCAGGTCCTCCTCCCGGTCGTCTTCGTCGTCGTCGTCGTCGTCGTCCTCTCCGCTCTCCACCATGTCTGCCACCACGGCGATGATCTGGGTGGTCAGTCGTCGGAAGTAGGCAATCGTGGCGAGCTCGACTCTGGCACGCTCTTCGTCGCTGCTCGCCGCCTCGCCTTCCTCCGATTGCGGCATAGCCTCTCCGGTGTCGGTGGCGCCGCTGGCTGCCCGGCCACCCGGGGTTCGGTGCGCGGGCAGTGACATGACCGAGTCTGCTATACCTAGCCCCTGACTACCGGCTCCGGCCTTGGCTAGGGGTGAAGTGCCCACTCCGCTTCCGCGGCGCTGACGGGGAGAAAACGAGGTGGGCGCGGCCAGGTCCGTGAGAAGCGCGGCATCAGTCGCCGCCTCTTCGGCCTCCTCAGATCGTCGTTGCTCACCAGCGCTGGCCCACCACATGAACCCGCTGTACGCAAGCGCCGCCCATGTTGTCGGCTCTACGACTTTCTCGGACGCATCGGCAAGGAGCGCATCACTGTCGCCGAGGTGCTGGCAGACGGCCGCGGCCGACCATCCCGACGACGTGCCAGGCCTGCGCGGGGTCGCGGGCCGCGCGCCACTCTCCGAGGTTGTTCCCGCCGCCTCGGGCCTCGGGCTGTCTGAGAAAGTGCCCTCAGGCTTGGGGGCGAGTCGCGCCAGGCCGGCGCCGAGGTTTCGGAAGCGGCGCAGGTCGCGCTGCGTGGCGCGGACCTGAACGCCACCCGGAAGCTCGACTGTCGGCCAGACGCGCTCCTTGGCCGGGGAGTTCGGCGGCGGCATGGTGATGAGTACATCCCACAGGTCGTTCTTCATGGCGAGGATGCTGTCCGTAGTGCAGGCTACCCATCCACTGCCGGCCGCGCCCACGTCGTCGGCGCCGATGAGGGGGGTCGTGGAGCTGGGGCGGCGCTTCCTGGCTGCTGCTGCCGCGGCCGTCGCCGCTTGGTCCTCGATCAGGAACGGGATATCGTGCACGCCGATGGTGAAGAGGGGGCGCAGGCGCTGCGAAGGAGCTGTCGGACCGAGCATATCAAAGAGTGAGAGTGGTATGTTGGACAGAACGGATATGTCGTAAACTGTGTAGATAGTAGATATGGTTAGTTTGCCTACTCGGGTGTGGCGTCCACTGTCGGGAGCAGCCCGAGCTTGCCGCATATAGAACTGACCATAGTCGCAGGCTTGATGAACCGGCGCGTGGGTCGATATCAAAATGCGCTGCCTCAGCAGGGCGGCGCGGTGTATAGGAAAGATCAAAGGGCCAAAGGTGTTGAGCAGGGCGGTTAGGCTCCAAGCCGGATGGAATGGTGATAGTCTATGGCCTGGTGCTATCAGCGCGTTACCATCAGAGGCAGACCGTTTCCTAGAGTGGCCCTTGCCCGCGACGGTTGCGAAGTTGACCCAGGGTGAGCTGAGCGGGGAGTCCCGCAGAGGCTCCATGTTGGCGGCCGCATCGGGCGCCTTGTTCGCCGTCCAGTATCGCTCCAGCATGCTCGTGTCCTTTGGGTCGATAGCCAGTTTCCTAGACAATCAGCATAATCAGCATGTGTTCGCGCATTGTCCTTCCGCGGGCCATTCCAAGTCGTCTCGTGTAACGTACTCGGCCATCTCCCGGAGTTCCTCCGCATGCCTCCACGAGCGGCCGAGGCGGCCATAGCTGAGAGGGACAAGAACTCCAACGGCAATCATGCGGGCGTGGCGGGCGCCCTCCTCCTCGGTGGGCGCATTGACGAATGCGCTCAGGCCGGCATAGCCTCCCTCGTGGATGAAGTAGATCAGGTCCTCGGACACCGTGTGTAGCCCTGAAGGCAGGCTCTTGTACTCGACCACGCCCTCCAGCTCCAGCCCGGCGATGGCCTGCTTCCAGGTAACGGTGTAGCCAGCCTTGACGTCGAACTCGATTAGGAACAGGGCCGAAACGGGTGGCAGGTCTGGCAGGACGTTCAAGGCCGGGGGGTTGCCAGCCAGCGCAGGTCGCATTGGCATTTTGGGCGTCTCGTCGTGACCGCCGTGGCGTTCGTCGTGCGTGGGAGGATCGAGGTATGCAGGTTGAGGGATGAGTGATGAGGGTTTCGGCGGCGACACGGTGCAAAAGGTAGCGCTGTGCCCTTCAGACCATCTTTGGCTGATGGCGGATGGAAAGAGTCAACCAGCCGTATTATTATCCCGTGCTGCGATTGAGCTGGATGTGAGAAGCGAGCGGGTATTGGCCTAATGAGGGGTCTGACGCGAGGTATGGAAAGCAATCTGGAGACAACCAAGACGGCAGAGGGCAGAGCCAGGTGTGCTAGGTACAGCTGCTAGTGGCGCGGCGTCGGCGACTAAATCCAAGAGGCGGACAAGCGCGAAGTCCAGCGTGTGTCGTGGGCCGTTGAATCAAATTGCCTAGCGGTTGTTCAGGGGGGCAAGGGCAATGCAACGATGGGCAGAGCGCGCGCCCAAGATTCAGCGAGTGAGCAGCCACAAAAGCGTAGAGCAAGACTCTGACCGAGTGATTCGTCCAAAACGCGACGGTGGCTTCCGGCCAGTGGGAACACACAGGCTCATTGATCTTGTGTTCGTCAACTACTCGAGTTCACTGTCGTGCAAGCTTGTGTCCCCTGTACCAAGCACCGAGACGATGAATCGGCTGCTGGTCCGACATGTCCCTTGTTCACCCACTGGGAACCACATAGGGTGAGCCATGTACTCGGTACGGCCTGCGAGTCGGCCATCTTCATGCTTGCGCGATGGGTACGTTTGATGCACGCATCACTATGAACCTAGCCAGGTAGGTACCTACATATCCTGTAGTCTATTTCATCTCAACCTATCAACCCTAGCACCCCAGCTATAAATGGCCTCCCACCTTCGCTGTTGCCTCGGTCCAGCGAGATGTGTCAAAGCCCAGACTCCACCTACACCTTGCACCGCGAAACCTAGAACGGCAGGGGGTGTTTCACGGCGGGACAATGTGGGGGAGTGGCAGAATAGCTTTCACCGCCAAAAATTTTGGCGGCTTCTCCAATTCCGCGATGCGCAACTCCGACATTGAAGCCCGCGCCTTGCAGGGTCAGTTGCGCCGACCCAGGACGTTCTAAGACTCTGCCGACGGAACAGCGACGCCCACCATGTCGCGCAAGCAACTGTAACAATACCCCTTAGCTCTTCACTTCAACAGTCTAATAGTAGACTCTTACTGACCTTGCTGGCCACGTTTCCAAACCAACAGAGATTCGCGGGTCTCGGCCCTCATCAAAAATGGCATCCAGGAGCGTAAACGAAGCTTCTTTGTCGTCGTCGGTGACCATGCCAAGGAGGCCATTGTCTACCTGCATCACATCATGGCCAGCTCAGATGTGCGACACAACAAGTCGGTTGTCTGGGCTTACAAAAAGCAGCTCCTCGGCTTCACCAGTCATCGCAAGAAACGAGAGGCCAAGATCAAGAAGGAGATCAAGCGCGGCACCCGCGAGGTGAACCAGGAGGGCGCCTTTGAGCTTTTCGTCTCGCTCCAAAACATCCGATATGTCTACTACAAAGAGACGGAGAAGATCCTAGGAAACACATATGGCATGTGTATCCTGCAGGACTTCGAGAGCGTGACGCCCAACATCCTCGCGCGCACCATCGAGACGGTCGAGGGCGGGGGCTTGGTGGTTCTGCTTCTGAAGGGTATGAGCAGCCTGAAGCAGCTTTACACATTGACCATGGACGTCCACTCCCGCTACCGCACCGAGGCCTACGACGACGTTGTGGCTCGATTCAACGAGCGCTTTATCCTGTCTCTAGGCAGTTGCGAGTCCTGTCTGGTGGTCGACGATGAGCTCAACGTGCTCCCAATCTCGGGCGCCAACAAAGTGAAGCCGCTGCCACCCCCGGACCGCGACGAGGAGGAAAACAAGACGCCTGCGCGGAAGGAGCTGGACGGGATCAAGGATTCTCTCCGGGATTCACGGCCTGTCGGGGCGCTTGTTCAACTGGCCAAGACCAACGACCAAGCCAAGGCCCTCCTCACCTTTGTGGACGCCATTGCCGAAAAGACATTGCGCAACACGGTCACTTTGACCGCGGCGCGTGGTCGCGGCAAGTCCGCAGCCATGGGTGTCGCAATTGCCGCCGCCGTTGCTTACGGCTACAGCAACATCTTCATCACATCGCCATCCCCCGAGAATTTGAAGACACTCTTCGAGTTTATATTCAAGGGGCTAGACGCCCTCGACTACAAGGACCACGCCGATTACTCCATCATGCAATCCACAAACCCGGACTTCAACAAGGCTATCGTTCGCGTAAACATCCACAGGGACCATCGCCAGACCATCCAGTACATCCGCCCCCAAGACGCGCACGTTTTGGGGCAAGCTGAGCTGGTCGTCATCGACGAGGCTGCTGCGATCCCCCTACTCCTGGTTCGGAAGCTGATGGGCCCCTACCTCGTCTTCATGGCCTCCACTATCAACGGATATGAGGGAACGGGAAGATCGCTGTCCCTGAAGCTGATCAAGCAGCTGAGGGAGCAATCTCGGGCTGGCGCGGCTGAGAAGGGTGCTGATGTTGAGATCGCCCGATCCAGCGGGAAGGCCGACAAGAATACCGGCTTGTCTGGCGGCCGTTCTCTCAAGGAAATCACGCTTTCGGAACCCATCCGTTACGGCCAGGGAGACGAAGTCGAGAAGTGGCTAAATACTCTTCTTTGCCTGGATGCCACTCTGCCACGGTCCAAGCTTAACACGCAGGGCTGCCCGGTAAGCCAGGTTTTATTGAGCGGAGGGTCTGGTAGCCCTTCGAGTCACGAACTAACCCAAGAACTGACAGGACCCCTCGAAATGCGAGCTCCTCCAAGTGAACCGCGATACGCTTTTCTCCTTCCATCCAGTTTCTGAGAGGTTCCTCCAGCAAATGGTGGCTCTCTACGTCGCAAGTCACTACAAGAACACACCCGATGATCTGCAGCTGATGAGCGACGCGCCGGCCCACAAACTCTTTGTTCTCACGCCGCCCCCAACCGAGGGAGCGCTGCCCGAACCTCTCTGCGTGATCCAGGTCGCCCTCGAGGGCAAGATTAGTAGGCAGAGCATCCTCAATAGCCTTAGCAGGGGCCAACGCGCGGCCGGCGATCTGATCCCCTGGCTCGTCAGCCAGCAGTTCCAGGACGAGGAGTTTGCTTCTCTCTCGGGCGCCCGCGTTGTCCGCATAGCGACGAACCCAGACTACGTCTCGATGGGATACGGAACGAGGGCGCTCGAGCTGCTTGTCGACTTCTTTGAGGGCAAGTTCCTCAGCCTCTCGGAAGACGTCGAGGACTTTGTCGAGAAGTCCATGCCAAGAGTCACGGATTCTGAGCTGTCAAAGCTGGCCGAGGGTAGCCTTCTGGAGGACAACATCAAGGTGCGCGACATGAGCGAAATGCCGCCCCTGTTCGCCTACCTGAACCAATGCCGTCCACCCAGTCTGGATTACGTCGGCGTCAGCTACGGACTTACCCAGCCGCTGCACAAGTTTTGGAAGCGCGCGTCGTTTGCTCCGGTCTACTTGGTAAGTCACGGCAGCTTTTCGGAATGTCTCAACTCCTTCCTCGCCGATTCCTAGACCTGAATGCTCACTATTCGACAGAGACAAACCGCCAACGATCTCACGGGCGAGCACACTTGTGTCATGCTTAGGCCACTCAAATCGACCGAGGACCAAAGCTGGCTGGGCGCTTTCGCCAGCGATTTCCACCGCCGCTTCCTCTCGCTCCTCTCGTACCAGTTCCGGGAATTTCCATCGGTGCTGTCGCTGAGCATAGACGAGTCGGCAAACAGCGGAGCGCTCCTCGATGCATCAACGCAGCCGAGCCCGCTCACCAAGGCAGAGCTTGACAGGATCCTGACTCCGTTTGACCACAAGAGGCTGGAGTCGTATGCCAAGAACCTGCTGGATTACCATGTCATCCTGGATCTCATGCCGGCCCTGGCTACCATGTACTTCACCGGCGGCCTCAAATCCAGCATCAAGCTGACGGGGGTCCAGCAAGCCATCCTCCTGGCCATCGGACTGCAGCGCAAGGACATCGATGCCGTCTCGGCGGAGCTGTCGCTGCCGTCGTCGCAGCTGTTGGCCATGTTCATCAAGATTCTGCGCAAAATCACGACGCACTTCGAAACCTTGGTCACACAAGCCGTTGACGCCGAGATGCCCAAGCCGGCATCGATTGGCGTCAGTCGAGAGAACGCGATGGGCGCCCACGACGACGAGATGGTGGACCAGAAATACGTGCCGCTGGACAAGGGGCTGGGGGAGGAGCTGGAGGAGGGAGGCGACGAGGCGCTCCGAGAGTACCGTGCCAAGCAGAAGGAGCTCATCGACTCGCTGCCTCTTGACCAGTAAGTGGATACTCCAAGAGCTATGATATGTCGCGGTCCGTACATCAAAGACACCATCATTTGCTGACATGGCTTCTTGTAGGTACGAGATCGAGGGAGACGCGACGGCATGGGAGGCGGCGGAAAAGACGGTGGCCAAGTCCAGCGCCAAGAACGGAGAGTCGTCCGGGGTCATGGTTAGCGTCAAGTCCAGCAAGGCGAAGCGGAAAGCCGGCCAGCAGACGGCGGCCGAGGTGTACGAGGAGGCGTTTAGTGAGAAGAAGCACAAGAAGGCCAAGAAGGACAAGAAGGACAAGAGGCAATGATTTCCTTGTCTTGTTGTTCTCTTTTGCCGCTCATGTTTTTGTCACTTTGTGCAACGAAAGTTTGTTCTGGCGTTAAAAGGGATACCTGGTGTACAGGCAGAATACCTCGAGTTGATACGGAATTTTCCCATTGTAAATCATTTGCTGTCTGCCACGGGCCTCTATATGACTGGTGCATATTGGTGTAGGCGCATGTAGAGCAAAAAGAGAAAAGTGAAAACCCAACCCGGCCCTAGATTACACCCTTTTATACCGGCCTGTACAAGCAAGCCCCGATGTCATCAGAATACCTCCCGACCCACCCGAACCTTTTAGGCAAGACAGATAAAAAGTCGAGACAAAATCATTTCTGTTTTCCAACCCTTCATAAACTGTTTGTGACTTCAACAAATGCCTTCCACTGCTTCCAGGCCTCGCCACTCTTGACGGCCCAGCGCGCCCTCCTGACGCCCTCCTTCCAGCGCTCGCCGCCGGGGCCGCGCTCGGTGACGACGTAGCCGTCGTCGCCGGGGCCCATGCTGCTCTTGTCGGCCTCGCAGATGCCGCTGGCGACGAAGAGGGCGGCCGTGTTCATGAGCACGAAGCACAGGATGGGGTCGTCGTCGGCGAGCTCGCCCTGTAGGATACGCTCGAGGATGGCGGCGTTCTCGGCCGGCTCCTTGTTGCCGGCCACGGCGCTCAGCGGGTGGGCGGGCAGGCCAAAGTCCTCGGGGCTGACGGTGAAGTAGTCGGTGGCCACGTCGGCGGCGGGCCCGGGGTCCCGGCGCAGGCGCCAGACGTGGGTGGGGCCGGCGCAGCTGACCTCGTCGAGCTCCTCGGCGCCGCAGACGATGAGGGCCCGGTCGGCGCCGGCCATGCGGAGGGACTCGGCGAAGACGGGGCCCAGCTCGCGGCGGGCGACGCCGAGCACGCGGGCCTCGATGAAGGGCCTCGGGGAGTCGGCGGGCCCGGCATCTATGGGGTTCGCCAGGGGCCCGACGAGGTTGAAGAGGGTGCGCCAGGGGAGCTGCTTGCGTATCGGGGCGACGTAGCGCATGCCCGGGTGGAAGACGGGGGCGAAGAGGAAGGCGTAGTTGGTGGCCTCGTAGACGCGCGCGACCGTGGACGGCGCCACGGCCGAGATGGCTGGCGGGGCCGGCTGCATGTTGGCCAGCAGGTCGGCCGAGCCCGACTTGGAGGTGCTGGCGCGGTTGCCGTGCTTGGCGATCAGGAGCAGGGACGAGGCGATGATGCTGGACGTGGTGCTGATGTTGAACGTGTTGTGCGCGTCGCCGCCGGTGCCCACGATGTCGCACTATGCGCGCGCGCGCGCCGGCAACGTCAGCTGTCAGGGGGTTCACTTATGGATGCGCTTTACATCCCACGACAGCCCGGGGAGAGGACAATGCTTACCATGCCGCCCTTGTACGCACCCTGGGCCAGCCCCTTGCGCGCAATGACGGCTCTCAGCTGCTCCAGGTCGATCCTGGGCGCGGCGGCGCGCATGACAGCGGCCGTCTTGGCCATGACGTCGGCGTGGCGATCGAGCCCGGTGAAGTGCAGGCACATGAGGAGGGAGGCGGCCTGGGTGTCGGAGACCTGGTTTGTGAAGAAGTGGGCGATGGCGTCGGCGATCTCCTGGGCCGTCACGGGGTTGTCCCTGTCCTTGGGTGTCGGCCACATGCGCGACAGCAGCGGCTTGATGTCGATCTTAGGGAGCTCCTCGCTGCCAGCCGTGGCAACGGCGGCGATGGGGGCCGTTGTGGCCATTGCTGATATAATTGGGCTTGAAGCAGCTGTGTTCGGGGTGAGGGTATACCCAGATATCCGTCTCTAGACTCCCAAGTTGTAGGGATGCGCCAACCCAAGAGATGGATGTAAGGAGGTCTTTGCTCTCCCTAAGGCACGTCACTCTCTCCAAACTCAATGGCAAGTCAATGGCGGGGTTCCAGGAGAGCTCAGGGTGTGCCCGCGTGGAGTCATTCTACAGCTCCGCGCCAGGGTCTATGACTCGCAGCCGCAATCGTCGAAGCTTACCTGTGCCTGTCACGTGGAGGCGAGTTCCTGCCAACAGCCTCCCAACCAAAAGCCCAGCAGCCTCGGCCCAACCCAGCGGAGGGGCGGAGCTCGTGGTCGGCCACGCCATCCAATCGTGTTGGGGGTTGTGGCCCCTGGAGCCCACTGTCATCCCACCCCGATCCCGACCCATCGCAGAAAATGTGTGCCGCCAAAGCAAAAAAAAGGAGTGAACTGGCGGTGCGTGATCGCTGGAGAAGTCGTGGGGTGAGACACTTGACGCTGGGTCGGTTGCATGACCTCAGTCGCCACACGATTCGCTTCTTCCCCAGAGTCCATCTCGACGGTTTTCTGAAACTCTGTCACCTCGTGGCTGTCCGCTCCTTTTCAGTCTTACCCAACCCCTGGCTCGTGAACATTGTGCCTGCCGCCTGCCACCAATCACCCTTGGCCACCACCTCTCCTCCGCTGAGCCTGCTGGAAGCACGCTAAGGCGTATCACGCACAAACTCTACGTCCAGTAGACTCGGCGGCCCGAAGAAAGCAACAGAGACTGGAGCAAAGGAACAAGAGAGAGCAGATATAACTAAGCCCTCGACGTTGTGTCAGCTCACCTGCTGCCCCTCCCCAACAAAAACAAGAAGCACGACACCTTACCTTCCACGACCTCCCGCGCCCGTCGCCACGCACGCAGTAGCGCCAACCCCAGGCCGCTCGAGACTCTTGCGACTCGTCCTGTACCTCGGGCGAGCTATCCATCTTTCGAACCTCTAACGCAACGGCGCTTCGAAAAACGAGGCGCGACTACGACGCCCCGCCGCCACGCGCGACCTCCTGAAGATACTCTTAACTCCACAAGACCAACGGGAGCTTGAGCTTGTTGCGACGAGGGGCTGGTGGGCTGCAAGGTCCCTATAAAGGAACAAGAACCAGGTCGCACCCGAGACCGTGCCGTCGCAAGACGGGCTGCGCCAACCAAGCCATGCTGGCATACCTCTACTACTTCGCCGCCGGCTACACGGGACTGGTGGTGGCGCTTTACATGATGTCTTTCGTCATTTCCAAGGCCTCCTTCGTGGCGCGCATTCTGGCCTCGTACATGGCGCTGCTCATAGCCGCCTCGTTCGGCGTCTTCGCCTCGATCGCGCTCCGGCTGGTCGGCAAGGCGCAACAGTCGCAGTGGGTCGTCGCGCGCTTCTTCAAGTACCTCATGATGCCGGCCACGGGAATCACGTTCGAGGTTGTCGATCCGGAGGGCCATCTGCGCGACGGCAAGACCAGGCCCGCCGTCCTGATCGGCAACCACCAGACGGAGTTGGACGTGCTGATGCTCGGCTGCCTCTTCCCGCAGTACTGCAGCGTCACGGCCAAGGCGAGTCTGCGCCGCGTGCCCTTCCTGGGCTGGTTCATGAGCCTGAGCGACAGCATCTTCATCGACCGCAAGAACTCCAAGGACGCCCGCGAGGCCATGAAGGGGGCCGCCGACGAGATCCGCAGCCGCCGCCAAAACGTCTACATGTTCCCCGAGGGCACCCGCAGCTACACCCGCGAGCCCACGCTGCTGCCCTTCAAGAAGGGTGCGTTCCACCTCGCTGTTCAGGCACAGGTTCCCATCGTGCCCTGCGTCGTCGCAAACTACAGCCACGTGCTTTGGATCAAGGGTCTCCACTTCTCGGCCGGCAAGATTCCCGTCAAGGGTAAGTTGTGGGCTTGCCTTGTTCGCAGCTGATATGCGTTTCCTCCCCCGCATTGTGAATTTTGCTGACATGTGATTATTTACCTCGTCCAAAGTGCTCGACCCCATCCCGACCACTGGACTTACCACCGCCGACGTGGACGAGCTCTGCAAGACCACGTACGATGTTATGCTCAAGGAGCTGATCATCCTCACCGCGCAAGCCCGCGGGGAGCCCATCACGGTCCCGTCCAACATCGACTCGACGGGCGTCATCATGGCCTCTGGCGTCGACACCAAGGCATCATCATGACAGCCTCGATGAAAGGACCTCTCTGCTTCGGTCCAGCTACCCAATTCCTGAAACTCTTGTACAAAGCTACTGGTCGAAGCCATTTTGCGAGTGGAGAACCGCATTGCGGTAAACACAAGCTTGAATTTCCACTACATTTTTTCCTCCCTGGTTTTTTTGCATACGGTGGACTGCTGCGTTTTTAACATTGAAAGACCAGTTTGGCCTATTTAGGCTACCTACCTAGAATGCATAAACATATAAGTTAGAGTAGGAGGGTTTGAGCCACCGGAGGTTTGAGCTACCCGCCGGTAAAAGTAGGGTTTTACTGATTAAACCCCGTTCTTTTCCTTTAAATAGCCTCGTACCTGGTGCATTTTACAGTTTTTTTTTAATATTTTCACTCCAACCGTTTAAAACCTACTACCCGTGTCACGGTACGCGTCAGACACCCAGGGAAGAACCTGAGGCCGCACTCCTAGCGCGCCAACGTCACGCCTACAAAACCACAGCAGAGCGCCAGGAGCGCTCTGTCCAGATAGCTTCCTCCTCGTGCAACAACAAAGCCTTTTCCCAATACCTAGGTATGCACCGTGGCAACCCGCAAATTCCAGCTACGGAGTTGGTTGTATCGCGCTTATCCTAAATAAGCAGAAAAGTGGGCCCACGGGCCCACGCGTCATGAGGGTGGCTTAAACCTCCGGTGGCTCAAACCCTCCTACTTAACTTACTGAGGGTACGTGGCTTGTATGCACAAGCTTTTGGCATGGGTTTTCATTTTTCCTTGGTTGCAACCCTCGCACCACCCCCGTTCCTGCAGTCTTTTCTTCTTCCTTTTGCCCTCTAGACTAGCTAGACGGGGCGGTGCGGAAGATATTTGATACCCACTCTATAGATGCATTTAAATGGCGCATCTGGAAGTCTGGCTTTGGGGGCTTACTGGGAAGTCGAAAGGCGTCTGTTTGCGTTCTATCACCCCGCCTTTGCCTTGCACACTGCATCCAGCTCTGTTTGCACTTGACCTTTCTGACCCCAAAGCTGCAGTGCAGCCAACCACTCCAAAGAGCAGGCAAAGAAGCAGACGGACGGAGAGTTTCGGCCTTGATCGAGCACGCCAGGAAGCCGCGCACGACAAAGACACCCGGCGTCGATCTTTGACGGGCCGCTACATGACTCCTGTCGTCCCCGGGCCGTTGACCTCAGACCTTGGCATACATTGCACTGCATTCGTATACTGTGTAGGCAGTATTTTTGGTTGAAATCCCACAGATTCTTATTACGACCGCAGGTGCGGCTTCGGGAGAGTCTCCCAGCAACAACAAGATCCCCGAGACGCCCAGCCTCCTACCTTCCCACGCACACAGTAAGTAGTCCATGGTGGGTGGGACGAAGGCGGCAGGGGTGCTACTGAGATCACATGCTCCAAGCTGAAAGAAGTGCCGTGCATCGTGCGTCCTTTCTCATGCCCCCAGGGTGGTATAGGCAGGTAGCACGCATGGTGAACGACACCGATGTATCGTCGAGTTGCAGGACGTCGTTGAAACGGTGCCTGTCGAGACATTCCTTACACGTGCGACGGGAAGGGGGCCCATCCGGCATGCTTTGACAATGCCATTCTCCCCGGCCCAGCCAGGGGAGGGCATCCTGACGGAAGGGGGGTACCGGCCTGGATCGGGGAAGCGAGCCTTGCCCGCTGGGGGACCATGGTCTTCTTCTCAAGCCGGAATGCATGTCGTTGCAACTTATCCAGCACGGCCAGGTCTCGCCCGTTTTGTTTTTTTGGTCCGGGGTGGGAGCGACCGGTCCGGCCCATGTCGGGGAATATTTCTGCCCACCCTTTTCTGTTTCTGTCTGAACGGGTGGCTCCCCCTCCCCTCCCCTGTCTTGTGCACGGGGCAGTTGTGGTGACTCATCAAAGCGCGACACCACTTGACGACCTGGGGAGCTGACGCATCGGCTGACTCTCGACCTGGTATTGACGTTTCGGCCCGGTAGTATCGCCGACGAAGGCCGCCGGCGTCGTCCATGTCGCCGCGTTGACAGGGGCCCGGTTCCTGGGTCCCCGCGTCCCTTTTTTTTTTTTTTCGCTCACTCTCGCTCTCCTCCTTCCTCTCCCTCCTTCCCCTCCCCCACATCTCAGGTCTCGACCATTGACCGGCTGTCCGTTCACTCGGGCGCCGCGTAGATAGTGCCGCCAATATGCCCCCCCCCTAGCTTCATGCTCTAATAGCGGTCGACGCCCACAAAAAGGGCTCCGCAATGCGCTCCGCCCTTGCTCAAAGGTAATCGACGGCCCCTAACCTAGTAAGCCAGGCAGGTCGGCCCCGGCCCTCTTGTTTTCGTTGCTTTTTTTTTCTTTGGTCGCCCGGACGGCCGTAAGGTTCGCTTGTCTCCGCCGCCCTTGCCGGGTTGATAATTCTTTACCCGCAACCATACCCAGCCGTCCAGGTCTTGGCCGTAACGCTGTCGGAGTGCGGATGTAGGGGAGGAAGGAAGGGACGGGAAAGGGAGGGGATCCAAAAAAGCGAAAGCCAAGGCCGCCCGTCAGCAGCGTTCTCCCCTCCTGGCTTGTGCGTGCATGCGCGAATCTGACGATGAGACGGCCCCATAATCGCAGTTACGGTAGGAGGGTCACATTGGAAACGCAAGTCGTGCGTAACTGGGAGCTGGGAAAAAAAAAACAGCAAAAGTCTGGTACCACACATGCAGTAAAAACCGCCTGCAGCAGGATAAACCAATAAAGCCGCAAAGATGCTCCATGGCGTAACCAAATATGCCGGGCAGGATGCACGCACGCACGCAAAAAAGGCCTAGTGGATGGGGAACGTCGATGCTGCAGATATACAAAACTAGGCTTTACCATAAAGGGCATCTTTGCTGTATTTCAAAAAGGGGCCTTCCCTGGCTAGGCCCCCCCTCAAGTAGCTGTTAGTCAGTGGACTCGGTAGCGCAATGACCCAATTTCTGGCTCCGCACCCCCGCGACAAATTAAGTGATACATGATACACCGAATGGTAGAAAATCGGGTCTTAGGCTGCCAGATTCGTTTGATTAAATCCGTCCACAACTGCAAGCAACTCCTCGATCGTTTGCAAATATAAGCAGTTTTTTTTTTTTTTTTAAACATTGGAATTGACGGAGTTGGGGAGGACCTGAAGTAATTTTCGTTTTGGTGTATCAATTGATTTGTCTTGGGGGTGCTCCGTAGAAAACGGCCAGGCCCATACATCCCCCTCCTCCGGCAGTTCCGCTTAGCCTCGAAGGACTGCGGAGCGGGCCGGGCCCCCTGTCGATGCGACACGGATCTGATGGCGCGTGCGGGGTTTTGGATGGTGTAGGAATGGGGTACCATCTGCGAAGGAAAGAAAGAGGAAAAACCCACCTCCCAACAGGAGGGGTTAAACCTGGAGATCACAGGGGCGGCGAAAAGGGGGTCACGTGCTAGCATAAAGTTACCGCCATTGTTGAAGTTGGTAAAAGAAGGAAAGAACGAGAAATTCTTGAAATTTCGTAACATCCCCCCAAGTCACCACGACCCCTGCGATCTCCGGTTTCAACCCCTTTGTTACCTCCCCTGTTACTGGGTTTTTCCTTTTTCTTTCCCTCGCAGATGGTATAGCTCGGTGTAGGTGGGAAGGGAGTCAACATCGGACTTGGCCGCGGACACCGAGGAATGGCCCGAGATGGGGGGGTTTCCCGACCTCGGTGGAGGCTGACAAGTGGCTGACTGACTGGCTGGCAAGCTGGCAGGCAACCGGGGAGGCTAGTGGACGGTCTGGCAGGGAGTCTGGCAGGCAAGCGGACAGCCTGGCGGGCCGGCAAGCCGACTGGCTGGAAGCCTATAAACATTCGGTCGTTGCCCTCCAGAAACAAGTCCAGAATCCCAAGATATCCAGTCCAACCAAGCCGAAGCCTCTTCATCACTCAGCGAGCCATCTCTGCTTCAACCCCCCCTTCCTAATTTTCTCTTTCAACAAGAAGTGAAAAAACCTCGCCTTTCAGAGCTAGTCCCTTCCATCCCTTTTTTTCACAATGTCGACCACCACCGTCACAACACAGACCAACGGCGCCGGCGCCGTGGCGGCCAAGGCCTCGCCCCGCGACGTGTGGGAGAAGCGCATCTCGGAGCTCATCGACCAGGCGCAGCAGCACAAGGAGCCGTACGACGCCGAGTTCGGCAAGTTCACCATCAACATCCACCCCACCGTCTACTCGCCAAAGTACTTCCCCGAGACGTGGTGGTACGCGCAGAACATGCCCGCCATCGTCAGCAAGGGCAGCTGGCTCGAGGTTGGCGTCGGGTCCGGGCTCAACACAGTGGCCGTGGCCGCCGCCGGCTCGGCCGTCTGGGGCGTCGACATTAACCCCAACGCCGTGGCCACGACGCGCAAGAACCTGGCCACCAACGGGCTCGAGGGCACCGTGGTCGAGAGCGACGTCTTCAACGGGCTCGCGGCCGCGGGCGCGCCCCGCTTCGACTTCATCTTCTGGAACCACCCGTGGCAGTACGACGCCACGGTGCCGGACCAGCTCAAGTCGGAGAAGACGTTCGACGGCGAGTACAAGCTGCTGCGCCGCTTCGTCGCCGAGGCCGAGCGCCACCTGACCGAGAGGGGCGTCGTGCTGCTGGGCACCAGCGCCTACGCCAACCGCGACGCCATCTACCAGATCGCGTCCGACTCGGGCTACGCCCACCGCGAGCTCCTGGCCGGCACCGAGCCCATCGGCAGCGGCGTCGTCGAGGAGTACTACATTATCGAGCTGAAGAAGAAGAAGAACTGATCCGGCCGGAAACCCCCTCCTTCTATGGCTATCAGCAGTGCTGTGCCGAAGGACGTTGGTGGCCCGTGGTTGACTGTATCCCACCCTGCCCACACCAGACATGGCTGGACTGCTTGATGAAGTAACGAAACAAATGAGGGAGAAACTGGGTTCGAAAAAAAAACCCCGAACTGGCGTTGTTTATTGTTTTTTTTTTGTTTTTCTCGTGGAAAAGTCCCGAATCCGGTATAGATCGAGGACCCCGAGTCAAAGAGAGCGTGTAAAAAGTCGTTTTGCGATGTCAATCGATTGGCCAATAAGGCTCCTCCAGCTTCTCCAATACCCTTTGCCCACGCTGCCGGTAACGAAACTGAATTCGCGCCCACATCTCACATTAGCCTGCCTACAATCCGCCTATGTCTGGTGCCATTCTGCCATCCAAAAGAAAGCAAACGCTTGATTCATTCACCCGCCACCAAGCGAGCGCCGCTCCCCTGTTTCAGAATGGTCGAGACGCGTTGGCGGCTATGACAAACGAGAATAAACAACCCGAGTCAGCCGAGGCCGCAGGGAAAGAAGAGCCAGAGGCGGCTTCATGCTCCGTAGATCACTAAATGCCAACGTGGCCACTTACTTTGATCCCCAAAATAGGACGTTTTATCGCCGTCAAGGCGGGTGATCGGCAGACAGTTTGGGTCAAGCATTGATGCCCGGTTTGGGGAGTGAGGGGATCATTCCCAGGTCACACATGCTGATCTCAGCCGAGCAAGGTCGTTACTCCCAGCGTCTAAAACATGCATGGAGAGGGCGTCTTTTGCTGTACGACATCTCGAGGGTTGTTGCTGGCTGCCTGACCCGTTCTTTCTCTAAGTCAGTGCACCCCATGTCGGCCCACCCCCCATGATCGCCCATCTTGTCAGCTCCGATCAACACCAACCCTACTGCATTTAACTGCAAATTTCTACTTTTATTTAAGCAACCTCGATGCAAAACAAAGCTAATTCCTAATTAGAATTTTCCGGGCTTTTAAACGCTGTATCCATTTCTTCCTTAGCTGCACCCTTCGCCTTTGCAACGCGGCGGATATCCACAAAAGTTTAATTGGAATCCGGGGCTACCCTTTTCCTTTTGCAAAGTTGTTGTGCTTCCAATTGGGCCTTTAATTGCTTGATTTTTTAATGGGCTGTAACGAGGTTATATTTATGCATGTTATAGCTTTTTTAAAACTTTTTAAAAAAAGTTAAATTGTAAAGCTTGTAAAAATCCAGGCCTTTATAAAGCTAATTTGGGTAGCTAACTTTTTCGATTGCTTGGAAATTTTTTATAAAATTTGGGATATTTGAATAAGCATTTTTAAACGCTATTTGGCTTTATTATCCTTTGCAAATTGTTAAATTCCAGCCCGCCGGCTGTTTTAGCTAAAATTGTTAAGCATAAAGCGGTTTATAAAAGGTTTAGTTATATTGCAAAGCTAAAGCCCGGCTGCCCGTTACCCCTTTTTAATTTTATAAAGGGTAAGTGCTTGTAATCGTGCGTAAGCATAAATTTTTAAAAATTAACGTTTTTTTACTATTGTTGGATAAGTAAATAAAGTTTGGAACCTTATTTTTTGGCGGTAAAATTATTTAAAAGGGTTAAAAATTAATAAATCGAATGGTTAAAAAACGTGCACAGTGTAAAAAGGTAAATAAAGTAAAAAAACGTTGTTTTGTAAGCAAAAAAACATAAAATTTTTGGTTACGTGCAATTCGTGCCCATTTAAAATTAAAAAACGGGGCTTAAGGGTAAAGGGTTGGGCGCGTGGGAAAAACACTTTTTGCAGCCACTTAACGGCCGTGCAATTTGTTATCCACCCGCTATTTGTAGCGGTAAATTCCTAGCTTTTAAATTGGCTCAAATCTGTAAAAAAAACCATTGCTTTTGCACGCTTTTTCCTTTAAAAATGATAAAGGGAAATAGCGTTACCTTAGCGGCTAAAATGCATTCGATAAACGAGGTTTACGTGCAAAACCCAGGCTTTTTCCGCTGTAAAGGCCGGGTGCCTGCAAGGCTTAAAACAAGCCCGTTGCCGGTCTTACCCTTTTGCAAGCCGCTTTTGTCGGCGTTGTACGTATTTTCCGGCTTAATACCAGCCATTTCGGGTATTTGCAAGCGCTGCTACTATTCCTTTATAATTGCAGTAATAACCTTTTGCAAACGTACAAACTTTATACGCCGTAATTTTCCGGTTCGGATTTCCGGATATTGGTTTAAAAAAGCATAAATCCAGTGCTTTCCGAAAGGCTAGGAATTACCCCCGTACCGGAAGATTTTTTTTGCAAAAAACCGGATTTCCGCGTGCGTTGGTGGAAGGCTTAAAAAGTTTTGTAATAAAATCCAGTTAGCTAAACGCTTTTTTTGCTTAAGGGCTATCCGTTGATACTGCTTTTGTAATTGCCGGATAGGTAAGGCGCTTTTTAAACGGCCTTAAAGGGTCGCCCTTGGTACCCCCCAAAGTCGAGCGGCCCTCGCAATTGGGACCTTGGCCTGCACCGCTGCAAGGGCTTGTTCGACGTTTTCTTCTGTGTAAGGTAAAGCGCTTTGGCGATACTGGAATAGGAAAGTGGCATGTCGATTTCTGGCTACCACGGGCGCAGATTGTGCGTGGGCGGTCCAGGTTTATCCATCGGGGTGGGCCGTGCATTCACGTGCTTAGGCTCCACCTCATACACTCCCCCGTAAACCTAACCGCCACTTCCGCCGGCGCCAACTAACAAAAGTAAGGCTATTTTACATGTAAAAAAAAGGTATCGTTATTTCGATTTTTGGTGTTGTAATTACTTCCCCGTTAATTCCACGCGTTTCCGTTTTCCTTTTTTTGTTAAATCCAAACAAAACCCAGCTAAGCAATGAACTTTGCCTGTTTGTTGGCTAGCAATCCATTTGTTAAGCCGTTGGCTTTTATATTGGCCGTTTTTACTAAACGGAGCTCGAAAAGGCGACGGTGGACCGCGTTAATTACCCATTTGTAACGTAAGTTTATTATTTAAATCCTGGCGGAATTTAAAGGGTTAAAAACGGTTGTTTGTGCGTTTGCGCTGTTAATGTGCATTACCAACGCGTTATTTTGCTTATTATTTATTTTGTTAAGGATTCCGCTAATTCAAATTAATGCTTGGCTTATCGGTAAAAGGTTTACGAACTCCGCTTCCATCGTAAAAACCGGTACAAAAGTTTGTTTTTCGACATCCAATACACTGGTCCGCCGGCAAGCATTACTATTACGCTTTTCGTTAAGGCTTTTGTGCAAAAGCAATTAGCAAACGAGGCGTTTCCGTATGCTTTTAAGCTTATGTTGTGCCGGCTATACGTGCAGCCCCCTAATTTAATTGCGAAATTTTGGGTGTTTACGATATACCGTTAAACGTATTTTAAAATTACGAAATGCTTTTTTCCCGAAGCTAATTAGTTTTTTTGGAAACGCTTAATGGTATACGTAATGTTAGCGCGTGTAACGCTAATAAAATATTTAAAGCTTGCAATTTTTAATTAATATCGTATAATTTTGGTAGCTTTAACCGGCTTTTAAATAACCGGAAAATTGTAATTAAATAGCCACGGTGTTGGAACTTACCAAGTGGGCGCACGCACGGGATCCATGGGATCCCCATGCACAAATCCACGATTTGTGCATAAGGCCACCAAAGCTCCTTTATCCCTTATATAAAAAGGTCGGATCCGCCCTTCTTTTTCAGCAAAATTCTTTCCTTTTTAAACCGGAATACAATACTTTAATTTAACTTACCTTTTAATAATCATTAAAGTTTAATTTTATGCCGTTTGGAAATCCGCAAGCAAAGAACTTTACCCCCAAATCCTTTTTACATTAATTAATATTGCGAAAAGCAATACAAAAAAGCTAAAAAAAAGGGTCCTTCATTTAATTATATTAAGTTAAAAATTTAAAAGCAAAAAATTATCGGTTTAACGCTCGATAGCGCATTTTTTATTTGTTTTTGGCCATAAAAATTAAAAAAGCATTAAAAAAAGCGCTGTGCAATCTTTTAAGCTAACATTTTAATCCGGCATTAAATAATTAAAACGGATTGCTTTAAATAATACCGCTTACTATCCTTTTTACCATTTTATTATAAAAAAGAAAATCCTCCGCTTAAGCAATTTTTAATACGCAAAATTAAAGCTCGATAAGTACAAAACCAATTTACGAAAAACAAGCACTTTATGCAAAAAAAATTATTAACGCTTTAAATTTACTTTTAAATTTATTATCGATTTTCCATTTCCTTTTTTTTAACCACCTTAATTATAAAATTGCTAAATAACCAACGGGCGCTTTAGCAATTGCCAAAAATATATGGATTATTAAATGGATGTACAATAACCGGAAAAAATCAAATTTTAACGATACATTAAACGATTTTAAAATTTTTTTAACAAATAATCGGAAACGGATTTTAACGCGGTAAATTTAACGATCCAACGATTTTTGCAAAATTATTTCCGAAAGCAAAAGCTTTGCTTTTTTACCTTTAACCCAAAAATATTAAACGAAAAGCTAACGAATATTTTTATTTAATTACAAATTTTAAATGCAAAGCTAAACTTTACGTTAAGCTTAACGTTATAATTATCTAAAGTTAAAAGCAAAAAGCTTATAAAATTACCATTTTTAAAGCTTATGCTTCCCCGGCAATTACCGCTTAAAACGTTTTTTTAACCAATTAATATAACGCAAAAAGCGGTAAAAAAAACGTACAATTACCGAAAGCACAATTTAAAGCGCAAGCAAATTAAAAAACAAGTTTTTTAATAATTTTTACAAAAGCGTTAAGCAAAATAAAGTTACTTTTCCGCCTAAACCTTTAAATTACGTGATTTTATATTTAACCAAAGCGGTAATATATTTTTATAAAAAATCGCAAAAGCACAATCCCATTACAGCCATTTTAATTTATACGATTATGATAAAAATACTTACTACAAAACGGAAAATAAAAATACAAATTTTTTGTAATTAACGTTTTATAGCGCAAACGCGCATAGGAAAAACAAAAACCAAAAGCATGGAATGCGGTACCACCCCTTTTATTTCCGTTATTATTTAAACCGCCTTTTCGAAAACCGTTACTAAGCCTTTTTAGCTATAACCAACCATCGTTACATAATTAACCCTTTTACAATTTACCCGCATCCCGTTACTTTTATACCAAAATGCATAATTATCGTTAAATTTTTTTACGGGAAATAACCAATGCATTAATTAACGCAAACATTATACGCATTTTTAAAATTATTTGGAATAATATATATTTGTATACGGGAAAACCGTATAACATTATCGATAACAAACTTTTTTACTTTACAATTTACGCTTAAATGTTCGGTATCAGTTATTTATAATTTTACGCGCTATACCTTTATATTTTAAAAAGCAAAGCAAATAAATATTGCGTTAATTATATCGGCCCAATATTTATTTTCCAAACCATTTATTTTGCATTTAAAACCCATTTTGAAATAAAAATCGTACAAGCGTAATATTAAACAAATTAAACAACAATTTATTTTAATACCGTTCGTTTAAAGCTTGCAAATACGGGCAAAACAAATATCGAAATTTTGCAAAAACTTTTCGATAAATTGCAACAATGTTACCAAACGCTAAGTTTAAACTTTAGCAATAAATAATAATTTGTAGCAAATATAACAAAAGCAATTTAAAAAATTTCCAAATTTAAAATAGCTTTATTTAACCATTTTAACATTTTCGAAAGTTTTTTTAATGTATTTTGCAATGTTACGAAAATTAAAAATAATAACAAAATTCCAGCATAATATTATACAAAACGGAAGTACAAAAGCAAAAATCGACAAAATTAATAAAAAACATGTTACGACCAACAACCACCTTCACCCAGGAAGGAGGGGTGGCACGGTACGGAACCCCCCCATAAAGGGTAAGGGGTTACGTAACCACCTGGGATTAATGGATTAAGGAAGCAAGAAAGGTAAGCCATTGATCCAAAAAAAGCTTAAAATGGCTTACGGAATTGGCCTTGTAAGCTAACTAATCCACGACCCTAAAGGAGTAATTATTAAGGTATAAAAAGGAAAGGGTTTTTTATTGTTTTAAGTAATTTTTAATTAAGGCTTTGGCATTAATTAAATTTTAATTAGTTTCCAAGCAACTTTTAAAGCAAGCATTTAAACCGCACCCAAATTATTTTGTAAATCCTTTTAATTTGTTAAGTTACGTGCTACTGTTCAATATTCTTTTAATGCTTTACTTTAAAAGCAAAAGCTTAATTATAACATTTTAATTAATCCTGTTTAGCACCCGGACCGGTACCGAGCAATAGCGATAGCGGCTTAAGCAGCCCAAATTCCCGTTCCCAATAACAACGAAAAGGAAGTGCTTAATACTTTTACTTACGGAAAGGTTGTATATAATTTAAACGAAAAAAACCAAATAATTTAAGCGTTGCTTGCAATATTTCAAACCGTAACCCAATTACAAATTTAAATTAATACCTTTTGTATAGCTACAAAAGCGTACAAATTCTTTACGCTTAACCGTTACGATAAAAAGGACGGGGCTTTTAAAACCTTTTTAACGAAATGCCAAAGCTTTTTTGCCTTTTATTATAACCAATTTAATACGAAGCAATAAAAGGTTGCTTACGCAACCATTCGTTTTAAAAGCAAAATTAAAAAGTGGTTCGAACCCGTATGGGTAAATTTTTTTAAAAGCTACAACAAAAGTAAAAAAAAACTAAAGTTATTTTTGCTAGCTTTGCCCGGTTCGAAAAAAAATTATTAACGTATTTAGCCAAATTAACGAACAACGAATTGCCAAAAAAAAATATTTTAATTTCGATAAAAAAGCGCAACGTTAAAGTACGTTTCCGATTTCCAACGCTTTATTAATAAGCTTAATTGGACCGACCAAACCAAAATAACCCATTTGTACAATGGGTTTTAAAATAACGTAAAAAACGAAGTTTTAAAAGTTAATTAACCCGAATCCTTTGCCAAATACGTTGTTATCGTAATTAAAACCAGCGATAAATTGTACGAGCGCCGCTTAAAAAAGAAAGGCCAAAGGACCAAGCTTGTAATATAAAGCAACCAACCGCAACGGCGGTTTAACCGCAACAAATTTATAGCTTATGGTTGTTATTTTGGCCCCATGGATTTTAGCGCTAGCGTTACGCATTAAAAGCAAAGGAAACGCAAATTCCAAACCCTTAAAAACGGCAAATGCTTTTAATATAAATAACTTGGGCACATTAAAAAAAACTGCCTTTAAAAAAAAAGCAAAAAAAAGTATTTTGGGGCAACAAATTTAAAATAATAGCGGTAACCAAAAAAGGAACGATAAGCTTAAAGGATAACGATGATTTTGGCCCGGCGTTTTTTTGGATTGCATGCATTAACAACCATTGCGCTGCTTACCATTTTAATAAAAATGCAACAAAGTGGTTTTTTCGCAAGCGTTTGGCTATAACCAAATGAAAGAACCTTATAGCACCCCGCAGCAATAACCCAGCCGATTTCGATAACGAAAACAACTAGGTTTAAATCGATAAAAACTTTTGGAAAAACCCCAAATTACAAAACGAAATACCTTAAAAGCAGCTTTTGCGTGCTGCCGAACAAAAGGGAATTTCGAATGCTTTTGTTAAAAAACGAAACTTTAAAAACGAAGCAATTTAACAAAAGCACAGCCCAAAGCTTTGGGCCAAACCCAATTCAATTCCCGATTTTAAGCCAAAAAGCAGCGAAAAAAGGAATAAACCAATTATAAAAAATATTGTAAAAATCCTCCAAAACCCGGATTTCGCTATCCCCAAGCCAATTAAAGCTTGGGTAACAAGCAAAAGTTTTTATAAACGAATAATGTTTAAAAGCAACGAATTCGAAAAAAAAAGCAACGAAAAAAGGTTAAATAGCTTTTACCGCTACGCCAAAAACGCTTACGTTTTATAAAAATACACGCGGGCGGCGTACCAAAAACGGTACCAACAAAAGTATAAATTAAAACGCAATTAAAGCGTTAATTTGCAAGATTTTTAAACGCAAATCGAGCGTTAGCTAAAAAAAAACAAATTGGACTATTGTTAGGGGTTAATCGGTGCAGAGGCGGGTAGTTACCGGGTTACGGGCCGGATGCGGTGTTTCCTTTATTAAGCCTCCGTAAATTTCTTACCAAAAGTGCTATCGCTAACAAAAATTGTTCTTTTTTTAACCTCCCCTTCCTTCGTGCCCTTTCGGGCACCCGGGGTCGGTTTTTTAAATTTTTCGCGCTTTAAACGCTTTCGTGCAATTTAAACTTTACCCTATCTTTTAGCTTTGCCATTATGCTTTGGCCGCAATACCGGTAATTTGCCGGCATATCCCCGGGGGGTTCGTGCCCGGCTAATTGCTAGCGCCCCTTTTTTTTTTTTACCGGGCGGTTTCGCCCGTGCATTTAACGCTTTTCGTTTTTTGCCGGGCGGTTTCGCCCGTGCTTTTAACATATTGCCCTTTCCCGATACGGCTTATTCCAAACCGTTTGTACCGCGCGTGCAACTTTGTAAGTAACCGGTAGCTTACGGTATCCCGCTAAACCGCCTTAATGCCCGGCAACGCTTAGGGAAACCAGCTATAAAGTTTTATAGCATTTGGAAAAATGGGTTCGTACCGGTATATAAAAGGCTTTTTTTCCCGTTCGAAATTACGAACCTTTTTTTTTTTTTTGTACATTTAATAACCATTTTAATAATTTTAACGATTGTAACCGTAAATAATTGGTATTTGGCCGTTTTTTTTAAACATTTGGACCTAACCGGTAGCTGCAAATGTTATCCTTCGTACCCGATTACGTAAAAAAGGTAATATTTTTTTGGGTATCCGCTTTGGGTTTTTTGGTCCTAACCGGCCCGCTGGCCCTTTTTAGCAACCTTTTGGTATTTTTTTTAATTATCGTGGTTTAATCGAATTTGGATTCGGTTTCGCCAAAGCTTTTAATCCTTTAAATTTTTAACGATCGCTTTGCCGGTAACCTTTTGGTAAGCTTTTTAAATATCGCGGGTTTATCGGGCCTTTTTGCGCTTGCAATTTTTTAAAATTCCCGCAAACGTTTTGCCGGTAACCCCCCAGCGGGTTTTAACCGCCGCGGCAAAAAAACTTTTGCCGAAAAAAAGCGTAAAGCGCGCAACGAACGCTACCGCAACGTTTTCGATTTTAATAAATTTGCTTCCAAAACGAACATTGCTTTTTTTTCGCTTTATATAAGTATCCGTAACGCGCTTCCGTTGCAAAAGGTTATTAATTTCCAATAAAGCAATAATTAGAACCTTATTTATTTATTCCTTTTTAAAAATAATTATACGGAGCGTACGGTATTTTATAGCCATTATTTTAGTTGTTAAGCATATTAAAATTATGCCGTTAACCCCTGTATACCGATATGTTCCGATAATTGTACGGGGTCCTCCAAATATATTTATTGCAAAAACGTAATCGGTAATAAAGCTTGCGTTAAGCTTTTTAAATGGTTTTGGGAAATGGCCCAAAACCTTTACAAAATTTTAAATACCGTTTACAAACGGTTGCTTAAAGCAATACCAAAGCTTTTTAAAAAGTTTACCAAAGCCCAATTTCGCGCCCGCAAGGCTATCCAAAAAGCCAAATCCTTTTATACCATATCGGCCGAACAATTTGCGCGCTACGAACGTTAAACCGTTATTTAAAAGCGCATTTAGCGCAAAATTGCTAGCGTTGCAATATTAAAAGCTACCCAAAACATTTTCCAATAGCTTTACGCTATCGCCGTTTAAACGAAAAGGCAGGCTTAAGCTTTAGCTAGCATCGGTAATTTTTTTAACGAAATAAAAGCGTTTTTTAAGCGTTTCGAAAAAAGTATGGTTATTTTTTTAGTAATATTGCCGCTAGCTTTGCTACGATTGCGGCGTATTTAAATATTTAAGCTTACAGCCGCGCGGTTCCCCGTAAAGGTGCAGCGTTTGTATTGGCGCCGGGAGGTGCCGCCTTCGGCGCTAACAATTTTAGCGGCAACGATTATAGCGCTAACGATTTTGGCGGCAATAACTGTGGCGCTAGCGAAAAGGACGTAATTTCCGAAAGTTTTGGTTCTTTTGGATACGGCATTTAATCGATTTTTTTTATATATTTTCCTAATTAATTATTGGTATCCCTTTTTCGAAAAGTGGTTAATTTTAAATTTTTTTCGTTAATTTGTTATAGCTAAAATTACAATTTCCTTTCGTTATGCTGCTTTTGCAACATTGCAAAATTTTAATGTTTTTAATTACTAACTAGGTTTTAATGCTTTAATAAATAATTTTAAAATGCTTTTTTTTCGCCCCCCAATGGGTTTAAATACCGCCGATATGCATTTACCGTTATTCGAACGCTTAAGCCCGTTCGCCGTATTATTCGGAAGTTTTCCCATTTCCTTTTTGGGCAAGCAATGGTATTTTTTATTATAACGTACGTTTAAAATGCGGTAATTGCTTTAGCGTATTGCGTTAAGCATGCCCTTTACGGGCTTTTCGAAATATGCTATACTTTGCATGTCCTTTGGAATTTAAATATATCGTACCATTAATTTAAAGCGTTTCCCGTACTATACCGTTTTTACCTAATTTTTTGTTTATAAAGCACGATATTTTACGGTTATTACAAACCGTTTACGGGTTTTTTTACGTTTTTCCCCGGTAACCAGCCGGTTTGGCACGTTAAAACATTTTTTGGACCATTCCTTTGGCTTTTATTATTCTTTTTTTGTAATACCCCCGTCCTTTCCAGGTATTTACCCGCTAAAGTTCGGTATTTTCCTTATTTTGTAAGCTTGCTTCCAATAAATTTGTTTTATACGTTTAAACAATTTTTTTCGTAATATCCCTTTTTAAAATTTACGAATTTTTTAATTTATCGTAATTTATCCATTTAATTAAATATTTTCGTTTTCGCAAAAGCTTTTTATATTTTAGCAAAGCCTTTATTTTGAAGCGATTTTTTTTCGATTTTGGTTTTTATTTTTGGTT